GGGCGCGGGAGCCCGGGCCGCGCGGGACTGGCCGTCGGGGCCCCGGGACGGTGGCCCCGGGGGCGCCCATGCCATGGAGAAGCTGGCGGCCGGGCTGGCCGGCCTGCGCTGGAGCATGGGCGCCTTCCCGCTCGACCTCATCGTCAGCCGCTGCCGCCTGCCCACGCTCGCCTGCCTCGGGCCAGGTACTGGGGTGCGGGAAGGGGGGCTGGGGGTCCGCGGGGAAATCGGGGGCTCTCTGGGCAGGTGCTAAGGGGGCCGTGATGATGTGGCCCCTGCCCTCCCGCTCCCGGCTTCGGCCTCGCGCGGCTCCCGGCACGCCTTCCCTGGAGACCCAGGGCCCACGAGCCGAGGGTCCGCCGCCTCCTGGGCCCTGCTCACGGGCACCGGACAGAGATCTGGGACAGGAACTGAGACCAGGCCGGGACAGAGTTTTCCCGGCCAGCTAGAAGCCGGAGCGCGGCGGAGGCCCCGCGGCCGCCCCGTCGGTGCATCCCTTTCCCTGCAGCCCTCAGACCCCCCGCCTGGGCCGCGCCCCCCTCCGTCCCTTTGTCTCCCGCTTCTCACCTCGATCCTCTCGCATCCCCTGGGCCTCGGACTGCGTCTTCCTACCGCTGCCACCACCCCCCAGCCCCCATCGGCCCCTGTTGGCACCCTTCTTGCGCTCTCCTTTAGCATCCCGGGGAGCAGTCTGCGGCCCCCGGCGGGCAGGTCACCTCGGGGAGAGGCCCGAATGATCGGGCCCTCCCGCCGGCCGTGCCCCCAAGTCCCGGCCTTCCCTCATGTTTTGCCCCACTTCCCAGGGGCCCAGGCTGCTCTGCCGATGGGACTGTGCATGGGGGCCCGAGAGGGGACGCCTGGAGGCCGCACGGAGCGAGGGGACCGTTTGGAGGAAGGGGTGGGGGCGGCTGCTTGGCTGGAGGAGGGGCGGGAGCCGGGGCTGGCAGCCAGGCCGGGGGTTTTGTGTGCGAGAAGAATAGGGGTTTGGCCCGCGTTGGCACACTCGCTTCCCTGAATGCTAATGGGGCCCGCGGCCACAGGCTCCTCTCCCCTCCATGGGGCCCGCAGCCCCTCCTCCGACCCGCGGCGGGGTGGAACGGGCACCGTGAGCGGCAGCGTGTCCCTCGACCGACCGGGCTGCGTGTCAGTTTCCGAGCCGGGGCCGTCGGGCAGGAGAGCTCAGCAGCCCAACCTCTTGCTCTCCACATCGTTAGCGAGTGATCCCGAGACTGTCCGCGTCAGCATCAAGGCTGTCCCCTTCTGCGTGTGAATGGGATAAGCTGGCCCTGGGTTCTGCCTGGCCACTCCCCACACGTCCTCCTTGGCATCTCCCTTTCCTGGGGGTCCTTTCTGAGCTCCCCAGTCCCAGCAGGCCTCCTCTGGGCTCCCGTGGCGCCTCGGCACCCCTGACTTGAATCTGTACACACGTTTTTATAGTTTATTGCCTTCACACTGGGCTCCAGGCTCCTTGAAGGAGGATATCCCGCTTAACAAAGATTCTGGACTTACCGGAGGGATGAGTGAATGGACAACTGGTGTGATGGCCCAGCTGTCTGCCTGTCTGTGACCTGTCTGTGGTGGCTATGGCTGTGGTCACTGTGAGTGCGAATACGTGAACAAAAATGTGTCTTTAGTCTTAAAGGCCCTACAGCCTATGCATTTGGGAGAGGCCCCTGTAGTTGCAGCCATGGGACTGAGTTGTGTCACTGGGGTGACAAGCTCCTGTCACTAGGCCCAGGGGCTGTGCTGGCTCAACTGTTGGGGGCCATAAACCATAGCCTTTGGTGTGTGCCTTGTGTGGTTGTGAAGGGTTGCAGAGTAGGAGGGCTTCCTCTGCCCCAGGACATGAGGGGTTGAGGAGGAAAGCTCTGACCCCCTCCAATGCAGTGGGAGCCCGCCCCACTCAAAGGGCCTGAGCACATCCTCCCCACACCCTTCGTGGAGCCCTCAGTCATCAGGATAATCAGGATAAACCACTTCCCATTTGCTTGGGTGGCAGCAATTTAGTAAGTTGTGTCTGAGAGGGCTGGGAAGGAGGCGTCCCCCCACCTTCCCCCTGCCCACCAGCTGCATCCAGGAGACCAGGCCCCCTGGAAGCTGGGCCAGCCCCTCCTGCTCTCCTGGAAACCGTTGCTGGGGTTGGAGCCTTCTGGGCCCAGGCCCCTCCCAACACCTCTGCCCTAGTGCAGCTTCCCCCAGAACTAGGTTCCCCCTTCAAGCTCCCCCCCCCATCACTGTGTTTTGAAGACAGGGAGGGTGAAGGGCTGACAAAGGGAGAGCCAAGAAACAGCTTCTCTGAGAGGGGCTAGGGGTTATCGGAGACTTTGTCCCCTCTCCTTTGAGGTCCCCTGCATGTAGGAGACCCTTGTGGCAGTGGGTGAAGAGGGGCTGCCCAGGAGAGAGCCAGGAATCTCTGGGGGCCCCTCAAGCAGGGATCCACAACGGATAGCCCGTCTCAGCCCTGTGTGTGCCCCCGACGAGGCCCTCCTCGCCTGGCTTAGGCACGGACTTGGGGGCTGAGAATTCTGCTGGTGGTCCTGAGGCCCAGCTCTAGTGTCTGCTCAGGGAAGACCTCACCTAGTTTGCTGCTCCTGTCTGGGAGTACCCAGACACCCTCCACTCAGCACCTCCAACGTGGCCTGTTTTCTGGGTTCACCTCTCTTTCCACCGCCCCATGGACCCAAGTGCTCTGGGAGGGCGGGGCCGGCTCATCTGCCTGAACCCCGGCTCGGCTCGCGGCACAGGGCCTGGGGCAGCAGGCCGTCCAGGCGAGTGGTGAATGAAGGACTGTGGCCGGGGTGGTTGCTGCGGCCCCGTCAGGAGCCAGAGCCCTGGGAGACCAGGCGTGACTCACAGCCCTGAGGCCACAGCTGGCAGCGTGCCTGTCCCCTGAGCGGTGTTGACCTGGACAGGGATCGTGGGCAGCCGTCCCCAGTCGGGGTCTTGGTGAAGACGTTAGCCTCCCTCGTCCCTCCTAATGTTCACTTTACCTTTCCTTCCTCTCCCCAGGGGAGTACGCTGAGGGTGTCAGTGAGAGAGACATCCTGCTCATTCACTCCTGCCGCCAGTGGACAACGGTGACAGCCCATACCCTGGAGGAGGGCCACTACGTCATCGGACCCAAGATTGACATCCCCCTGCAGTACCCAGGTGTGCCCAGCCAGGGACAGATAGAGCCACTGGGGGATGCAGGCAGGAGGGTAGGGGGTAGGCCTTGGGGGAAACTGTTAGTGACCACCCTTTGCCTGGAGCCACAGGGATGAACGAGGACATGGCTGGCCGGGTGGCAGTTAGAGCCCTGTGGTTTTCATACCGTGTCTGGGGGAGTCCTGGGTTTCTGGTTGCAAAATTTTGATTCACATTTTATTTCGTTTAGTTTTTTAAACGTTTATTTTTGAGAGAGGGTGAGCGCGAGTGGGGGAAGGGCAGAAAGAGAGGGAGACGCAGAATCCGAAGGAGGCTCCAGGCTCTGAGCTGTCAGCACAGAGCCCGATGCGGGGCTCGAACTCCCAGACGGCGAGATCATGACCTGAGCCAGAGTCAGACACTCAATGGACTGAGCCCCCCAGGCGCCCCATTCACATTTTATTTTAAACTGATGATCTAAAAATTAACCCCACTCTCACACTGCTGCAAATCAAACCTTCACCCTAACTAGAGACCTTGGGTGTGTACTGTGAGCTGCCTCATTAAGGCTTTTTTTTGTCCAGACCCTCAAAGAGAACGTCTCGTGCGGGGATCTTCTCAGTGGTTGGTGTGCAACCAAAATTCTTCAGAAACAAAGGGATGCTCAGTCTGATTTTAGAACTGCACTCATCCACTCTGATCCTGATTTTTCCAAATTTTTGTGTTAAACTCCTTGTTTTCACTGACTGGCTTTATCAGCGAATGTGAAAATTTTACACTTAAATGAGATGATGCTAATGAACTCGTACTTTTATCTGTTATATGTATGATGTTGATATCTTACATACGATTTTGGTTGAAGAGAGGATTCTGCTGCTGGAAAGCACAGCCCTTGTATTTTACACGTGACAGAACAGAGGCTTTAAGAGGGAGGTGATTTGCCCAGGGTCACACAGCTAGGAAGCAGCAGAGCAAGGGCTAGAACCCAGGTGACCGGACTCCTGGGCTGATGCTTGCTTGCACCACACCAGCGACGCAGGGCTGTCGTCACCTGGGTGGGAAGGGTGGGAATCTGGTGGCCCCCTCCAGAGATGCCCTTATGTGCCCCAAAGGTCCCACAGCTCCTGCGTGTTAAACACGCCGCCCTCCAGATGCTGAGCTGAGTGTTTCGTCATAGCATCCTCATGGCAGCCGTGTGAGAAAGTCTCATTAGCTCCGTCTAACTCACAAAGTGAGGCTCCGAGAGCTCTGGTAGCTTTCCCAGTTCTGTGTTTGTGACTGCTAGTCCCTTCCCCTGCCCTAGTAGAAGTTGGGAACTCCTGAGCTGGAGCTGGGAAGGCTCCCATTCCTTTCCTCCCAGGAATTGGGGTCCCCAGCCCTTCTTGGGTCTCCTCTGAGCCAGGGGGACAGGACTAAGGCTTCTGCTCTTTACAAACAACGCTGTGAAGTTGGTACCCCCATAGCTCCCACACCCCATTTAAAAGATGAGGAAACACTCTGGTGTCTTTCTGACCCGGGGTTAGGCCCTGAGCCTGGAGCCTGGAGCCCTTGAAAGGCCTGCTTAGCAGCTAGAAACTTCCCAGCCTGGCTATCTGGTATTGGTCCAGGAAGGGGCCCCAGATCTTCTTGGGATGAAAAAACAAAAGATTGGAAAAAGCCCTCGCTGACATTAGTGTGACTTTACTGTCCCATTTCAGTTGTGTTATTAAACATCGGGGAAACCAAGGCACAGAGCCTCCTAGGGAAGAGTGAGTGAGTGCAGGAGGCCTGGGGCCCTTTCCCTTATGCAATCTTCTGGTGCCCCTGTGTGCATGTGGACGGTGTGGTCATGGGGCGACGGCTGGCCTGCAGGGGAGTCGCATCCCTAGCCGCATCTTTCCGGTGGGTGGCTCGGTGGCCCTAGTGGGGGAGGGGAGGGACGGGGTTATAGCCTGGAAGCGGAGCGCGCAGCCCGACGCTAGTTCCTCCTAATGAATTAATAATGACGTGGGCGGGGGCAGTGGCGAGACCCTGGAGTCTCAGGGAAGGCGGGGGAGGGGAGTGCAGTGCAGCGCCCGTGGATTGGGGGACCTGGCTGCCCGGAGAAGGCCCCCACCGCCCCGCACAAGGGGCTAGGTGGCTCAGGTCAGCGCTGGCCGGCATTCTGGGAGCTAAGCCCTGTGCTTCCATTTCACAGATGGGAAAACTGAAGCTCGGAGAGATTAAATAATTTGCCCAAGGTCGCGCGGCTGGTTGGTGCCAGAGATGGGATTCAACTAGGTCTGTCCGACCCCAAGCCTGTACATTTACTCACCATTCTTTAGGGAACGGCGCGGCCGGGGTCGGGTGCTAAGAGGAGGGGGAGACTGCTCTGGCTGGAAGGGACGCCAGGGAGCGCGAATGTGACGTAGGAGGGAAAGGGCAGGGAGCAGGGGCAGGCTGGGGTGGGGCAGGTCCCTAGGGTGCGGGGGCGCTTGGGGTCTCACTACGGGGGAGGCAGGAGAGGAAGCTGCCGGGGGGAGCGAAGGCTTCCAGGGGCTGGCGCATCGCTCCCGGGAGGTCTCCCTTCCTTCCTCCCGCGGTAATGACCGGTGCTGGGCCCGCGCTGCGGCGGAGGGGGTGGTGCTGGCTACCATGGTTACATCGATCCGCCGGCCACATCCTCTCCCGTCTGCAGCCCTGACTTGGCTCCAGCTCTCCCCACAGGGGGCAGCGGGCAGCGGGCAGCTCTCCCCGCCTGGCTGCTTGTGGTGGGGGGCTTGTGGTGGGGGGGGGGGGGGGCGGGGGGGGGGAGGGGTGGCACCTGCAGTGGGATGGTAGCCGCTGTGCGGCCCCTGCTGCCCGACCCCCCCCCACCCCAGACCCCCGTTCTTTGCCAGGCGCCTCCCTAGTTTCTCGCCGCTGCCCTGGAGTGCTGTGGCACATTTTCTTACAAGGGTCTCCTCTTTCTCCTGGGCACTTTCCCTTCCCTTTCTCAGCTTCACTTCTTTCCCGCTTCTAGGTGCTGACGGGCCCTTGGTTCTTCATTCTCAGCACGTTGGGGGCAGCGGGGGTGTCCTCAGTCTGGGATTCTGGCTGGGTCTGGGGGGCTCCAGGACCCACCTACTGTATACAACGCGGTGTTTGTGTTCACGCCAGGAGGACGCTGACATTTTTTTCTGGGAGGAGAGTTCCCAAAGGGTTGAGATCCGCCCTAGCTGAAGACCCACCTGTGGGTTCAGTGTGTACCTCCCACCCGGAGTCCTTAAACCCTGCCCGCGCTTGCTCACCCCCCTAAGAGCACCCCCTGGGGGGCCTCACTTGGCCTCCGAAGGACGGGCTCCTGCCCCACATGTTACTTCCAGGTTCCCAGTTTTGACTAGCAGCTCTGCCTGCTCTGTGTCGCGTTGGTTTTTCTGGTTTTTTTTTTTTTTTTTGGTAGTGCCAGGTTTTTATTTAAATTCCAGTTAGGTAACATACAGCGCAATATTAGTTTCAGGAGTAGAATGTAGTTGAGCGCCCGGTGCTCAACACAAGTGCCTTCCTTAACACCCATCCCCCATCGAGCCCATCCCCTCCCCCCCACCCCCCAGCCTCCCCCAGTAACCCTCAGTTTGTTCTCTGTAGTTAAGAGTCTGTTTTGCCAGCTCCATTTCTGACCCGGCCGGTGGCCTGCGTCCTTTCCTCCCCCTACCTGCACCTAATCCGCTGCCCCAGTCTGCCTCTTGGTCTGCTTGATTTTGCCATTTCCCCAGTGGCTGTCCCGGCTCTCCTGCAGAATGACCTCTCTGCTTTCTTTATGGAGCTCAACTTGGAGCTTGGCATTTTCTTGCTCAAAACACTGCGACGGCTTTCATTTCTTTTTTGGGCTGTGAGATGACCGTTTATTGAGATGTTTTCCTTTGTAGTTCTTAGCCAGCTGGGTAGTCTACTGCATCACGTCATACAGGCTGTCCTGAAGGGGGCAGCCGTCAGCATTGCAGCCTACAGACTAGGCAGTCCCCAAGATCTCTTTAATGGTTCTAGAGCATTCTCTAGCTAAAGACGCATGCTGCTTTTGTTGGGCAACGTTGACACTTTCGTCAAAAGTGAGCCTTCCACCGCGCGTGACGTTCTTCTGCTTCTCTCTGTGTCTTGGTGGGTCCTTGAGGGCTTTGATGATCAGAGCGTAGGCGGAAGAGGGTCCCACTTCAGTGTGGGCCTGTTTGTTCTGAATGGTCAGTTTCGCTGTCGTCCTCAGACCTTTCTGATCACCACTTGCCTTGGCGATGTCCTCACTAACCTTTTTGGGACGCGCACCCAGGGGGCCAGTCTCGGGGGCTCTGCAGACATGGCAGTGACTACTCCACCAGGGCACCCTCCGTACGTGACTTCGATCTTTTGGGCGTCGGACTTAGGTGGCCTGGCGGAGGTGGCTGGTGTCAGGTGAATCCGGATTCAGGACGATGGGAGAAAAT